GCCTTCCGGGGGGGGGGGCGGGGGCAGGGGGAGGAGGGCTCCCCTGGGCCAGGCGCTGCTGGCTCTCGGGATCGCCGGGCTTGGCGACGGCCTTGCGGGCCTCCTCGATGAGGTTGCCGGCCTTGTCCATCACGTCGCCCGCGCACTCCAGCATGGCGGCCTGCACCTGGGGATCGTCCGAGTTGGCGGCCACGCCCCGGGCTGCCTGGCTGAGGGAACGGAGGGCGTGCGCCACGTCCCGAGCGGCAATCCCTGGGAGTCGGGCAGGGGGCAAAGCAGAGAGAAAGGGAGCCCTCAAGGCCGGCGAGGTGAGGGCAGCCTCTGCCCCCTCCACCCTCGGCCAGGGAAGCCTGGCTTCTGTTCCCAAATCCACCCAAGGACGGCCACAGAAGGAAGTCCCAAGAGGAACCAGGGGGGCAGGGGGGGGAAAAGCAAACCCCGCCACTCCCTATAGCTCAGCGGCTCACCGCTGCCAGCGCCAGCTGCTCCGGATCCAGGCCCACCACCTGCCGGGTCGCTAGGACCGCCTCCTCAGGTAGCGATCTGGCGACTGATGGCTCGTGGGCCCACAGAAAGGGCTCTGCGTGCCAGCTGCGGCACCTGTGCCATAGGTTCTCGCCATTGCTGACCTAGGGGGACGGGGTGGGGAGCAGGGCTCCCTCCCTCCCCCCCCCTCTCATGTCCTGCCTATGGGAAAGCCCAGGGACCCACCTGTGTAGTTCTCGTTGCCCTGCGCGATCTCTCCCAGGAGCTGAGCGATGGCTGAGCTGACGGCTTTGGTGCTGTTTCCCAGATCATGGGCGCATTTCTCCATCTGCAGCACAGACCGGGGGGGCGGGGAGCCTGCTCAGCACGGAGGGACCCTCACACCTCCTGCTGGCTTTTGGCAAGCCCCCTGCCAAACGCTCCCCAACGGGGCTCCTGCCTCCTGCCCCGAGCCCCCCTCCCCACTCCTTTGCCCCCTCCCCGACTCCCTGCTCACCGTCTCCCCAGGAAGAGGCTTCAGCTTTCGTTCCCGGGCGGCTGCCTTGGCTTCCTGCAGGTCTCTCTCCAGGCTCTGCACTAGGCTGAGGGCAGAATCAATCTCCAGGGGCCCACAGGCCTCTTGAGCCTGCCACAAAACGACAAAGCATCACCCGGGCCAGCCAGAGGCCCCGCAGCCGGTGGAACTCACTGCCACCAGAAGTGCCAATGAAAGGGCCACCGGTGGCTTTGACGGCTTTACGGCCAGGGTGGGCAAACTGGCTTGCAAGAGGGAGGAGGGGAGGGTGACCTGCAACTAGAACCCCTCCCCTTCAGAGATTACAGGTCTACCTGGAGACACCTGCAGCCGTGGCACAACAGGAGGGGAACATGGGTGGCCCTTCCTTCTGCCCGGCCAAGGGGCAGAAGGTCCCACAGCTCCAGAGCAGCAGTGTCACTGGGCTCCCGCAGGGCCCCGCCCCAGTCCCCACCGTCACTCACCTTCTGGGCTGCGGTGCGGAGCTCTGCCAGCGCCCCGGCCAGGTTCTTGGCACACTGGCTGAGCTGCATGGCCGAGGCCTGGTCCACGATGGTGGGCACGGTGGCCTTGGCAGCTGCCACCATCTTCCCACCAGGCTGCGGGGCAGAAAGAGGGGAGCCTTGAGGAGCTGGGCTGGCCACCTGCCTGGCCTCCAGTTGCTTTGCATGCGTGCGTGTACACGTACACGTACAAACAAACGCGACCCCTGCCACGCCCGCGCCCAGGACCGCTCACCTGCAGGAAGTTCTGGCTGGCCGCAATGAGGGAGAGCTGGGCGCTGGGGCTGTCTGGCTGGGACTGGCTCCCTCGCACGCCTTGCACCAGCATCGGGATCTGCTCGGCCACCACCTGCAGCAGCGGGAGGCAGAGTCAGGGAGGGAACAGGCAGGGGGCCTTCGGGCATCAGCCCAGCCGCTGTAGCTGGCCCACCGCTCCCACCCTCGCCCAGCAGGGCTGCTGGAAAGGCTGCTGGCCGGCTGGCCCCTGCCCTCTTGAGAAAGGGGGCGTTTTGACCCGACCAACCCCCCCACTCTCTGTGAGCCTCTCCCTCCCTCCCTCCCCCCCTCCTACGCACCTTGCAGCTCTGCACCAGTTGCTGGTGGGCAGACGGGTTCTTGCTGGCCGCGGTGGCGTGCTGGGCAGCCGCGATGGCTTGCGTGGCGGCGGCGGCGGCCAGCTTGGCAGCATGCTGGGGTGAGAGAGAGCCGGGTGGGGGGGCACTGTGAGGTCAGTGGAAGAGCCCGAAAAGGGGACCAGGGAGGCCTCAGCTCCCCCCCAACACACATTCAAGGCCGCCCCAGGGGATCCCAGCCCAGCGCTGACCTCCAGCCTGTGGACCAGCTTCTTCTTGATGGCATTCTGGGCGGCTGCGTTGGTGGCCATCCGGAGCCCTTCGGCCGCCTCCCGCAGACGCTGCTGCTGCTCCTCGCTGTCCGGGTGCGCTGCAGCTCCCTGGTGGACGGGGAGCAGGTGTGGAGGATCAGGGCCTGCCTTCTGCCCCTCCCCCTCTCCCTGGTGTGCCCTGCTCAGACCTGAGACCGGGCAGGGGATAAAACCCCTCCACGCTGGACAGGGGAGGAATAGCTTCTGCCGTGTGTGTGTCTGCGTGTGTGTGTGTGTGTGTGTGTGTGTGTATGCGTGTGGGGGGGGTCACCTGGCCGATGGCAACAGGGCTTGTGGGGCTGGGGGTGGCGCCCACCTCCAGTCTCAAGGGAAAGGCACACACAGACAGCAACCCAGTGCATGCACACTGGGAGCCTCCTTTCCTTTCCCACGGCAGCGTTTGGACAGGATGGGATCCCAGGTGCTTAGACCACTGCGCGCCAAGGACCCGGAAG